TGAAGTAAAGGTATAATTTCATCTTTTGTGAAATGCATATACAATTGAAGATAGTTTTCCCTTTGTAAAGTTAAAAAAAGTTTTAGTTTGAAACCACACATTTTCAGCCAAAGTCATATTTACAGTAAGATAAATGAAGACTTGGATGTTAAGTTCTTTGAGCTTTCTTAATTAATATTGTACCATGCACATTAATGATACTGGGAAGATTTTAATCTAACGGTTGTTCCACCTACTTGGGAATCAGTCTCTTTAGTGTACCTTTATATTGCATGTGTACTCTCAGGGCCCAAATATAAAGGAATGTGTTTTATGATTTTATGTTTCTAGAGTCATTGTGACTTTTTTAAGTTAACAAAGGATGGAAATTACTTCCTGTAACCCTCTCACTTGCAATAAAATAATAAATATGCTAGTTTTTGTATTGTTCAGATGTGGGAAACTGCAATCTAGTGTAAAATCTGTATGCATTTGAGGAAATGTTCCTGATGTTTTTGAGAAATCACTACATTTTAACTTGCTTTAGAAATTTACACATTTACTAACAATGAACAATTTTCTTCTCTTCTTTTTTTTTTTTTTTAAAGAGTATGTTTAGTTCCAATCGTCAAAAAATTTTGGAAAGAACGGAAATCTTAAACCAAGAATGGAAACAGCGAAGGATACAGCCTGTGCACATCATGACTTCTGTGAGCTCATTGCGCGGGACTAGGGAGGTTGGTTAACATGTGTTGTAGTGATTATCAGCACATTTTGGTTTTTACTGTTGGTTGGTTATTGGGAGGAGGTAATTGACCTAAGGATGTCCATCTTTTTATTGCTGTTTTCTTTTTAATGTGCAACTATTAATGACTGCTTTGGTCCCACTGCTAGCTCTTCCTGTAACTGAGTTCTGAGTGTTTAGAATATACTTTGTTACCAGATGAGAGTCCTAGATTTGATTTAAAAATAGAAAAATTAATTACTCTCACCGTCCTCATCAGATCACCATTTAGAGCAAGGCTTCCTGACCCTTTGTTGTCTCCCTGCCCCAATATGAATTAGCCATGTGGAAAGAAATGTTTTCTTTTCATATCAATGACTGAGAAAGCTTTTTTTTTTTTTTTTTTTTAAATCATTTTGTTCAAAGGCTAAGGCTCTAAATTGATTTTTAAAGTCAGTGTTGAGAAATTAGAATTTTTTTCCCATGGCATTTTTTGAGAGAAGTAGATATTAATCCGAGTTTCCTGTTTTCAAAGAAAGGCAATAAATCTATGGTAGAATATATCATTAAGAGGTTCCTTAAAATACAGTTGCAGCAAGATGAGAAGAAGTGGCAGAATCCTAAACAGTTTAAAGCCCTTCAGTAGGGTTCTAGTTCAGGCATAGAATATTTAAATGAGACTTAAAGCAAAAAGAGGGGAGAAGGTGATTTAGAATTAAGATTATGTTACGTAGTAAATGTTTATTTGTCTAATCATGGGAAATATCTAAACAATGGAATTTGTTCTTCAATATTTTTCAAGGAGTAGTCATTTTCGTATAACATTATTGTAATAAGCAATAATTTGTATCATATGAAGCCTTTCAAGATCGTAACCCGTGGCTTCAGCTACTTGTCAGTGATATCACGATAGCATAGACACAAACCCATGGTGATTTCAGTGATGTTATAGTGTTTTTGTTTGTTTTTAAATTTATTTATAGGGCTAGCCTGTGGCATGGTTGTTAAGGTGGCTGGATCCCACATGGCTGACTACGAGGTCTGCATCCAGACACACTGACTTGAGAAGCATTCTGGGCGCTTGTGTGTGTGTACTCAAAATCCTGAAGGGAGAGATGGAGGAGAAAAGACTGTGGTGTGACCATCCCCCATGGAGGATGCTTTCTCAGTTTCCTTCTCTCTTTCATATCGCACAAGCACACATTGATGACCTCTAACAAAAATAAATAAATAAATAAAAATTAACGTTTAAAAAACTCTCTCTCTCGAGTCAGATAGACAGAGAGAGAGAGACAGGCAGACACAGGCACCCGCAAAAGGATCTTCACTCAGCCTCAGCCAGCCAGGCACAGGCACAGGCACAGGCACGGGCACGTGTGCCTGGCATGTGTAGAGAGACCTTGGGCTATGAACGCAGGATCTTACATGTGACTTCACATGGTTACTGCTGTACCATTGTGGCTGGCCATATCATGGTTGTCTTGTTGGTGATCCATGACTTGGAATGATTCCTAGTTGTTTATGCATTTTGTCAGGTGACTAATTTTTAAAGCTCAGGCTTACAGTGGTGTAAGTACATCTTATATGCTAACACTTCCCAGTGTCTGGCACTGGTCAGAACCTAGATGTTAGAGGTCAATGGCTTTTACTAATATACTCAGGGTGAAAGGATTCTTTTTATGCCCCTCAGGACATTCTCAAAGGAAATAAGGATGGGCCTTTTAAGTAATTCTTGAATGTTTTGTCTGATGACCTTTTGGATTTTTTTTTTTTTTTAATCTGCCAGAAGGGTGATGCACTGAGCAGAGAGAGTGGGGAGAGAAAGAGGGAGAAGCACTGCTTCTGCCCCAGCCCCCAGTGGGGTGTTGTTATGCTGTAACCCCTTCTCCTTCATTTCTTCATCCTGTCAGGATTTTGAGCAGACAAATTGGCAAGTTGGGACTTGAACCGCATGGTCGTCCATGTGGGATCGGGCTCTCTTAACTACACCAGTCCATGGACTGGCTCACTTCTTGAAAATTTGAAGTGAAGAATAAACAAACCTAATTTTTTCTTTTCCTGGAGAAATCTTAGAAATTTGGAGAAATGAGGTAGATTTACATGGGATACCTATTTTTGCCATCTATTACAGATCTCAAATTGTTCCTGAAAGCCCAACTTTGATTTACAAATAAGGTAGCAGTAGTGTTTCCTGTATTGTGCTAGATAGAGACCCTGCATGCGCCACCTCTTTTCATTTTCATGATGGTGGTTGTGTCACGCCTTTTTCCCTAGGCAGAAAACGGAGCCTTCTGAGAGTCAGGGCAGTTTGCTTGTTCTAATGATCTGACGGGAACCCAGAGAGCATCGTTTGCTCAGACACGTTGAGAAATAATAGTAAAGGGCATGTGCAACTCGAATTGCTCTTGGAGTCAGTTGTAGCGTTATGTTTAGGAATGTAGTTTATTAAATTAAAGTGGATATTTGCTGATTCAGTTTTGCTTTTAAATTTGTCCAATGGAGATAAATCATTGCATGTAAAGATACCGTACTTTTTGGTGATTTATCTGAGAAATTGTTAGAAGAAATGATCATTTTAATAAAACGGAATTTTGTTTTCTAAACTTAGTATTCCACAGTAACCTCACACCAGTTGAGAAAAAACAGTTTCACAAAATGCTAGGGGAATAGGAGGACAATCATTCCTTTCCTTAGGAATTCAGTGTTTATTACATAGAACTCTGGCCTGCTCAAAGCATTGTTGGTAGTTGATTCTGTTTCAAGTGAGTTGTCTTTTATGCACACACACACACACTTTAAAACCATCATCACTGACTAGAAGCTGAAGGATTATACAGTTTCGATAAGCTTTTTGGTGTTATCATAATAAATCATAAAGTTTTAGAGCAGACAAGGACTTTGGTGATCTCATAGTCTAACCTCCTGACTTTTCAGATGAGAATATTTTTCTTTGGTTTGAGCATTTCCATCTACATATTAATGTCATGCTTTGAAAGTTTAAAAGTAGTCTAAAGTAGGTCAAGTTGGAGGAGAAAGTTCAAGTGAGCTGTTTGCAAAGACTTTCTTAGTAGTTGGCCTGGCAGAATTTCAGACTGCCATGTTGATGTAAGCATGTAGTCTATAGGGTTCAACCCTTGAAGTGCCAGCATGGCGTTGTTTTAATTAACTGCTTATTTTTATAAAATAATTGTATGTAAGTGCTGATGCCTTCAATTTACACCCTCTGCAGCATGATGAATCGACAGTTTTCAGTTCTTCAGCCTTGTCTTAGACTTTACTCCCTTTTGTAGTTGTGGAAGTAGATACATTCAGTTTTAAAATGACTAATTTTTTCTTCTTTTTGGAGAGGTTTTTGCTGTAGGGCACATGTGCTTGCCAAAAAGACAGAGACAAAGAGACAGAAAGCGAGAAATCACCCCCCACCCCCCAGGGGGATGTCCACTCCGCAATCCCTTCTCCATTCTCCTCTCAGGATCTTGGGCATGCACGCACACGTGCCCGACGTGAGTTTAAGCTGCCGCGTCCGGGACTCCAGCCGTAGTCGACTACATGGGAGTCCAGCGACATAGCCACTATGCCAACTGCTGGTCCCATGGCTCATTTTTTCTGATAAAGAATATCCGACAAATTTGACCTAATGATCTAATGAAGTGTCTGCCGGACATGCTGACTTCAGATGAATGAGTTCTGTAGTTGAACCAAGGGACTACAACTTTATTATGTTGTTTTCCTAATGCCTTTTAAAGATGCTTTGGGATATCTAGTTTTTGTTATTAAAGTTACAGAATCTGAGCGGTGTCATCTATAGAATTTTAATACAGAGTATGTTCCTATTTTTTCTTTTAAAAATGACTTCTGAGTTCTTGAAGGACGGGGTATGTTTTACAGTCAATTCCTTTGCTCTTCAGCGAATCTTTTTGAGGAGTACCCTGCTTTCACATGCCATTGAGGGAAACAGAAGCCAAGAGACGTACATCTTGTGACCATACTGTTTATCCCAACCTTGTTTCCATGTCACTTTCATTACTTCCTATCAACGAGTAAAAACTGTCTTCTCTGAGTCTTCATATTGGTAGTTCTGTTCTTCAGTCTGTTTTGTTTGTTTTTAAATTTTAATGAAGAAACAGGACTAGGAGTTACTCTTTTTTTGTTTTGTTTTCTTTCTTTCTTTCTTTTTTTTTGGGAGGTTTTTACTGTAGGGCATGTGCACTTGCCAGAGAGAGAGACAGACAGAGAGACAGAAAGCGAGAAATCATCTCTCGTGGGACAGAGAGACAAAGTGAGAAATCATCCTCCCTGGGGCCACACCGCAATCCCTTCTCCTCCATTCTCTTCTTGGGATCTTGGGCACACACATCTGCTGTGAGTTTAAGCCCATCGGGTCTAGGATGTGAACCGCAGTCGACCACTTGGGAGTCCAGTGACATACCCATTACGCCACCTGCTTGTTCCCAGAAGTTACTCTTAAAGTTCTCCTTAGTGCATTTTTTTTTTTTTGTGCTTTTGTCTATTTTTTGCTAAAAAAAACAAGCCACTTTCATTCATTGATTCTTCATATCAAAATTTTTCCTATCCATATAATGACTGAGAGAGAAATTGCTTGTCTTCTGGACAAATGGTAATGATTAATAACTTAATAAAAATATCCTGCCAATAATGCATTTCTCACTTTCCCCCTTTTCTCCCCAGGGTAAGTGTACACATCCTGTGACCAACTGACTAACAAATGAATGAATACTTTAAAAAATTTATTGTTAAACTGACTGCGAAATACCATGTCTTTTCCCCAAATGCAAAACAATTTTTTTGAGAGAGAGATTTTTGCTATAGGATGCATATTCTTGCTGGAGAGAGAAAGAGAGACAGAAAGTGAGAAATCACCCCCCAGGTGTGATGGCCATGTTGCAATCCCTTCACTCTCCTCTCAGGATTTTGGGCATATATGTACATATGCCTGCTATGAGTTTCAAGCCGCAGGTCTGGGGCTCAAACTATGGTCGACCATGTGGGAAT